GTGCTCCACCACTGCCCGGCTCAGGTCCTGAGTTTTAAACACTAACATGGAGTGTGGCAGCCTGTGGGATTTGTCCAGTCAGCCAAGGCCAGGGTTTCCAATCCTACCAGCAACCCCACACTCTGGGGCAGAACACGGGAGGACCAGGTGGTTTGGCAGATGCGACCCATTCCCAGCCCGTGCTGACAGTATGGCCGAGCTGAACCTGGTGCTGTGATGAGGCGACCCTCGCCTAAGCTCATGTGGGATGAAAAGAACTTACGGAAGATGATTTCTGCCTGGCTGTTTATCTGACATCTTTTCCCACCAGAGCAGAGTGATGTCATATGTATTTTTTTTAGTTCTACATTTTGCAGTTCTATCTTCAGGTAAAGCCTTGTTGTGTTGCCCAGGCTGGCCTCCAACTCTTGAGGTGATCCTCCTGCCTCAGGCTCACAGTTGCTGGGACCACAGGCGGGTGCCGCTGTGTTTGGCTCACTTATTTTTGTCTTAGGTCCTGGTTTCTAGCCATGAAGGTATCAAGTAGATAAGTGGATAAGGGTGATGAGTTAGTTGACTGTTGGAAGAGCAGGGCCAGGACCAGGTTTGTGCTCTGGATCCTGAGCTACCCAGGACCCAGCAGCATCCTCCTCCAGTCTCCGACCCACCCCTGCAGGCTGGCCACCTCGGCCCGCTCTGCATTTTACCTGTTATTCCTTCCTCTGCAGGCTGACAGGCACCTATTTCTTGAGAGTTAGGACCACATTTATGACAGAGCAGACAGAGCTCTCAGGTCAGGTGACTTTTACATCATGTGACCTGGAAGAGCCTCTCTCCCGGTGTGCGGTCTCTGGCTGTGGCTGCTGAGTGTTGTTGGGTCTGATTTACAGGTGAGATTTATTCATCCTACCTGGAAGGTCATGGCCTTAACTACTAGAATCCCTTGTTCCTGTATTCAAGTGACTCATGAATCCCAGAGTAAGGTGGGCCACTCTGAGACTTACTCCCAACAGAGCTGATGGTGCCCAGTGGACCCTTTTTAGGGCCGACAATTGCCTGACCTTTGAGAAAAATGATCTCCAGGGCCAAGTGTGCAGAGGGCCATTTGCGATCCTGTGGAGACAGATGCTGCTTAGATGCAGCTGAGCTCAGGAGGGCAGTTGTCTTGACAAAAATAGCACAAGATACAGTAACATTCCAGCACACGCCCCACGTCCTTCTCCCAGGCTCACAGATCCGCAGAGGACACTCAGCATTTGGGATTTCCAGAGCCGCTTGCTGTGTGTGTGTGTGTGTGTGTGTGTGTGTGTGTGTGTGTGTGTGTGTGTGTGTTGGGGGGGGGGCAAGTCTCTGGGCCTCTTGCACTTGGCCGCCACAGCTATTTCGGTTCTTGGCTAACTCACCAGGGCCACCTGTGGAGCGGACAGTGTGGGGCATTGACTTGTCTCTCTCTCTAGGCAAGGGCAGGTGAGCTCTCCAGTCCAGTGTTTTTACAGATACGGCTCACTTTGGTGTTAATTATGGGTAGGTTTGCTTACAGCCCTTCTTGAAGGATTGATGTTTCCTGAGCTAGGAATCCCTAGCTATGACATAAGTCCACCTGGCTAGTCTCCATCACCCCATAAGGCTTAGGACCCTCGGGGATGCTGAGCATAAGGGGTTCACACTGTCAGCTGTGTGGTCTCTCCCGCGGGTGGGGGTGGGGGGTGTTCCGGGACTTTGTTAGCATCTTCAGGACTGGCAGGCTCACTTGTTGGCCTGCAAGTGGGGCGAAGGCTGAAAAACTGCGGTTCTTCACATTCCTGATTCCTCCAACCAAGAAAACACAGAGGCACAGGCCTGGAAGCAGACCCAGACTCAGTGGGACTCAGCGAGGACTGCTCCTGTCAACATCAACATCACTGGAACCCGTTTGTATGGCAGGTTGGGAGACAAAGAGGAGGTACGGTGCTGGACTAGAGGACCAGATGCTCTTTTCATGTCTTTCACGGTATCTTGTGAGCACACCCTCAGGGGCAGCAGCTGGTTCTTGTGCCTCTATTGTGGGCCTGAAATCCCTCCAGTGGACCCTGGTGCTCCTGCCTGCTCAGAGCTCCAACAGGGTCAGGAAGATCTGCTCTGCAGAGGGGCAGCCCTGGCCAAGCGGACACCCGTGCTTGTATGGTACACGCGGGACACAGTGCAGGAGGGTGAGCAGGGGCATTCGTGTGCTGCCATCGACACAAACTGCTCGGGAATTTACCAAACATGGGGTTTGAAGAGTCTAAGACCAACAGCGTGGGTTCATTTTACACCTAATTTAAGAGAGGGAGGCAGGACCTGTGCGGTCGGGTGACAAAGCAACTCTCGGTCACCCGCTTTAACTCCTCACTGCTCCCAGCTCAGCACAGGAAAGCACATCTCACACACTCTAAATGCCTATGTATATAAATGTGCTAGCACACCTGTATATACATGCACACTCACTTGCATTTATGCAAATATGCCCCCAATTCATACCTGTCTACACACACACAAACATACATGTACATAATGCTCCAATGTATGCACATAGTCTTAGACGTTCATGTGTATGCATTTTATGCATAATCTCTCTCTCTCTCTCTCTCTCTCTCTCTCTCTCTCTCTCTCTCACACACACACACACACACACACACACACACACACACACTCTCACGATTCTGAAAGTGTAGTAGATGGTATTCTGGCCCACTTCCCTTGAGGTGTACATATACAAATGCACACAGACATGTACACATAGGGCTCTCAAGTGGATACACCCATGCGACTCCAGCTTCCCAGGGCAGGTGCACACACATAAGTATGCAGGACTCTTAGGGGAAGGACAGACTTCTGTACCACCTCCCCACGAGGTTCTGTGGCAGCAGAGGTTCACGGCGACCTGGAGTCTGTGGAGGAGACGGAGGAACGAGGGGTGGGTCCCTGAACCGTTATTCGTAGCAACATAGAAAGTGCAAAGGTTCTCGTTATTCCAGAAAAAGATTACACTTCATAAAATCCATGTTTATTCAAAAAATCTCATGGGAAAGTCTGGAAAGCATAATAAATATCTGTACAGTGGCCGCCCGTCCCAAACACAGACAGAAAGTGTGAACGTGGAGTGGACTGTAAACGTAACTGCTGAGCATGTAAATGCAGTGCGCGGCGGGGCAGGGTGGACAGGTGTGTGTCACCTGCACGGATGAGCCATGCTGGCTTCGCCTTCCACCTTTCCCGGCCACACAGGGACCACAGAGTCCTTTCCACTCCAGGGGTCTCACAGTCTTGCAGGTGGTGAAGGGTGGCAAAACCCGCCAGAGAGAATGAAGAGTCACAGCATGTATCTCCTGTGCTTGAGAGAATCAGTACAACGCAGGGAAAATCCCAAAGGGCATCTTAAGGAAGAACACCATTTATAAACAATACTGCCAACATTAGATAGCACAAGATACTATCCTCACTTAAAAAGCCAAACAATATCCCCAAATCAGGGCACACGGGGAATTGAAAATGACACAACTGTAGGACAGCGGATGCTCAAGGCTTACCCGCCATTGACTTTGGGGTAGAATCTGACAAACCCCCCACTCCCCTTCAGTGGGGCACTTATCATGTTCTCATCCCAATCAGGACAGGAGCTGCCAAAAGTGACCACTGGGTATGGGAGGCCTGGGATGTAGGCTGGGGTTTCCCAGGACAGATTCTGTAGCTTCTAAAACCCAAACAGGCGGTGACAATGGGCTGCGGGGGAGCCTCAGTCACTGTGTAGAGAACAGAGGACCTTTCATCGCGCTGGGGGGTAAGGGTTCACTGGAGAGGCAAGGGAAACGCTCGGGACACTGGGGTTACATGCCACAGCCGCCTGCTGCTGCACTTTAAAGAACAGGAATTAAAATAATCCTGCCACATGCTCTTTAGGCTGACTACCGAAGATTTCAAGTATCATGTACTGGGTGAGGGTGGGAATGTCGAGGTATTTCACTCTCAACAGAGCAGGGCTGAACCAGCATCCTCTACAGACATGTGACATGCTTCACAGACACTTCAAAAATAGAGTTTGGTATGATGGCCTCCGCCATCCCGTTTTTTGAGAGTGAGTGTAAGGCAGATAAGCTGACATTACCAAAAAGAGGTGATGAGACCATGTGACCAATGGGGATGCCTTCTATGTTCTGTTCTTTCTCTTCACTGAAACTCATAGATTTGAAGCTGCAAACAAACCCAGTCCAAGGGTTGTTGGCATCTGGCATATGATCTGTGCCAGAAGGGCCCTCAGAGGATTCTGGGGCTCTGTTCATTTCTAAGATGACAGAGTCTGTCACTGAGACTACCCACTATTCTTTTCCACTAGCTTTATATCAAGAAATGGAAGGACCCAGACATCAAAAATTAGTAGGGAAGTGCACTGGGCAGGGCATTTTCCATTGAGAAAAGATGAGACCTTCCCTAGGGACACTGTGAAAACGGCACATAGTCACAGCCTGTTCCTACTCTTTGTATTTTATAATTCTCCAACAAAACAGAGTCCAGTGGAACGATTAAAGCTTGTAAAATCAGTTTACATTTTGAGGTCTGAAATAATTAGACCGAGCAAAGGAATTGTGTTCCATATGTTCCACTGGGGGCAGGTGCTGGGCCCTAGAGCTGCGTGAGGTACAGAGGCTCACTTACAGAGGCTACGGCCCAGTGCAAGCTCGCTGGGACCAACACGTGTCCCTACACCTCCTGGGCAGAAGGGCTGCCCCTCAGACTGGCAGCTTCTGAGCCACAGTATAGTGTCCCCTGACCTGAGCCCACTATGGGGGTATCCTTGGAACACCCCTGCCCTCCAGAGAGAGTGGAGGACACACACGTGCCTCTTCCAGGGCCAGGCTGAGTGGAGCATGCCACGCAGGAAGGGTCTCACTCTATTATTCTGCACGCCGAGTGCACAGACAGCCCACTCAATGTCACCCTGCTCCCCACACAGACCACACCCTGAAAACACTGTTGGTGAAGTGTGATTTTGAGACAGGTCTACACAACAGAAACACAAAATGCAACACAGAACCACGGCTTCTACGAAGTGCATCACTCCTGCCGACGGCCTGTCCTGGCGCCTCTCGCCTCTCCGAGGCCAAGGGTCTCAGGTTTCTCTCCGGTCCTCAGCCGGGCTAAGGAAGAGCCGGGGGAGGAAACAAAGTTCCATTTCTTCAGTTCCTCTGTGCACCAGGGAAGCCGAGCGTGAACACACCACCACCTCCTCAGGAAACGCATGCAGAGCCGCCAGGGTAAGCGGCAATGGCGGAGCCCCCACACTCTCCAGGGTCCCCGGGGCCAGAGCGCTGGAGAGCAGCAGGACACACAGCAGGTGCTGGCCCTGCCTGGCAGCTTCCTGGGGCTCCTCTCTCAACCACCATGAATCAGGCTCTCGAACAGACTCGGCCATCTTGACTCTTGGGCTGGGAGCTTTCATCCCAACAAGTCAGTGATAGAGCCAGGGAGAGGCCACCAGCATCTCATTTGTGAACCAGAGGATGGAGAGGGAGGGACACTCTTTGGGTGAGTTTGGACAGACCAGGCATTTAAGCTGGATGCCATCCCACAGCCACTGGTTAGATCAGAGCATCCGGGAGCATCCTGCTCTTCCCTGGCAGGGGCCCTGCACTGACATTCTTATCGTGACAGTAGAATGCCTTTGTGAGAGGCTGGCCACTTAACTGACTTCAGAATGGTAAAAGTGCTCTGCTTGGAACATAAGCCATGGTATGAAAAGACCTAGAGCCCCGAGCGAGCTCAGGCAGGCTCCAGCAGGGTGCTATGAGGTGACAGGTTCATTTGGTTTCACTCGGGAGAAAAGGAGAGCGGGCGGCGCGGCGAGGCTCACACATCCTGGGCAGGACCCTCTGCGGGGCTGCAAAGGAAACAGGCAGCCAAGGCCAGACCCGGTTTTGTGCTGGACTCGTGGGCACTCGAGTGCCCATGAACAGGACCTGTATCTGGCGTCTGGGGGCCTGAGAGGATGTTGGGCAGGGAGGCTGCGGCTGGAGGGCAGGCTCGGCTGGCCACTACAACCTGGTGGACGTGAGTCTCTTCATCCCTCGGCGTTGGGCCAAGCTGGACGATAGCACAGGTTCCAGCCTTGGAGCCTGTGGGGTCCTGTTCAGGGCGAAGTAGGTGGCGGCCATGGCACCCTGTAAGAGGGAGGAAGGGTAGGTGAGCATGGTGCCCGTCTACTCCTGAGTGGGAAGCTGGAGCCACAGGATCTTGAGAGCCTCAGTTTACACCCCTGCAAATCAGGGAAGACCTTCCTCCGGGATTACTGGGGCACTGAGGGTAGCAGGCAGACTATATAATCTATGTAATAGCAGGCACAATATAATCAGTCCACAAATGATGGCTACCATCATGACATCCCCCAGGCTCAATTGGGGCTCATGCCTTAGGAGTATTTGAGACTGCAGTGGAGTTCCTGGGAAGGTCATGCCATCATCTTATTGCTGACGAAGGCAGATGTGCTTGGGGGCAGTTGGGTCCCCAGGACTCATGCCCAATGTTCCTGAGGCTCCGCCACTCTGAAGCAGTCTGGACTCACGTGGGCAGCTGGGCTCATCTTGGTGCAGCCCCACACCACCGAGAAAGATCCAGGATGGACTTCCAACAGGACTGGGCTGGGACTACATGCACTTCTTAGAAGGGGTGGTACTGCCTGGACTCCAGGTCTGCCTGACAGGGGTTGCTAGCAGGAAGGGGACTTTTACAGACTTCTGGTCCAGAAACGAGGCCTCTGGATATAGGCCTGTTCAGCCATGCTACCAAACACCACCCCTACATCAAAGCTGCCATTCAAACACGCTTTCTGTGCGTGTGCTGAAGTGACGCTTGTGTACCTATAACTGGTGACTTCACATGCTACAGTGTCTTCTCACCAATGGTGAGGCACTGCTCCAGGATCCCCACGCCAGCTCTCAGGGCTCTGGCCTAACGTCAGGTACCTTTACTAGGTGGACGTCTTGTCTGCTCAGCTGGCTCTGGGATAGGTACTCTCTGTTCACAATCCAGGGGTGTTTCAGCACTTGAACTGCTGTTAGGCGCTGCTGCGGGTCCACGTGAAGCATCTTGGACACGACGTCCTGCCGCGGGTTCAGAGGGGAGAAGGACTGTAGTGTCATGGGAATACCCAGGAGAACCCAACCGTGATTCTGAGCTGATTCTTTGCATTTTGGGTCAAATGACATCTAGGTTTATAAGTCCGCGAATGTATTTTAAATGTCAATGATGACTGACTTAGCAGTGGACAGAAAATTTATGTTTCACTGAAGATTTTATAGCAAAGGTGTTTTGAACACTAAGTGGCAGAAATAAGCTGCTGAAATACTATTTCAATAAAAATGGTTGCCTTCTACAAACACAAGAAACACCACGCAGTGGAACAATGGCCCTCTACAGAGAAACCTAACGCCTCTTGGCATCTGTCAGCAGTGACCTCAGTGACCCGTTGGAGCAATCTGTCCTGGAAGTACAGCTGTGAACACGGAACAGGAAGTGAACACGTGTGAACAGGAAGCAGTAAAGACACGGTTTTCTCAAGGCCTCACAGCTGTGACAGGGTGTCCCAGCACACACAAGACGTCCACAAAGACACTGTCAGGGCCGGGGGGCACTCAGAGGCTGAGCACTCACCAGGTATAGTCTGAAATGGAAATGTTCCCACAGGCTCCTGTGTAAAGCCTGGGTCCCCAGGTGTCACTGCCATGCTGGGAGACTCGAGAAACCTGAGGAGGCACCATCTGGGGGGTAGTCACTGGGAGCAGGGGGTTAGGGGTGTCTTGTTGCCAGCTGCTTCTGTCTCTCCTCTCTGCTTTCTGTCAGGCGTGAGGTGAGCAGCTATTCCCTGCCCCTGTTCCTGTTGCCATGAGTGCTGACTAAGCACTTCCCTTTCCTGTTGTTATATGTGCTGACTAAGCACTTCCTGTTTCTGTTATGTGTTAAGCACTTCCTGTTCCTGTTCCCAATGAGTGCTGACTAAGCACTTCCTGTTCCTGTTGCCATGAGTACTGACTAAGCACTTCCCTTTCCTGTTGTTATATGTGCTGACTAAGCACTTCCTGTTCCTGTTGCCAATGAGTGCTGACTAAGCACTTCCTGTTCCTGTTGCCAATGAGTACTGACTAAGCACTTCCTGTTTCCATGAGTGCTGACTAAGCACCTGGGGTCAAATGACCATAGGCCGCGTCCTCCTAAACCAAAGCAAAGCCTTCCTCCTTGGAGGTGTTGCTGGCAGGCGTCCTGGTCCCAGTGATAACGGATAACATACCCGGCATGCACGAGGCCCCGGGTTGGATTCCCAGGGCCACAACCCACACCAAACAACGACAACTCACAAAACCCCAAGACGCCACCACAGCTCTGTGTGAGGATGAGGATGGAAGGAGGAAGGATGGAGGATGATGGGGGGAGGGCACAGCGATGGGAGAGGTGGGGTGAGGGGAACCAAGGAGGTCAGCGGGCGCGAAGGCCCCTCCGCAGCAGCGGTCTCGGACTTTCTCTTCCCTTCTCCGCTCTGGACACGGCACCAGAACCGAATCCTGGTGTGAGGCCTGGCTTTGGGAGCCCAACTGAGCCAATCCTGTGTAACCTGAGACAAGGGGGTGTGCGGGAGGAGGAGCTGGGGGGTTGGGGTCCACTCTCTGTCCCACCATCACCTCCACCAGGACCTCCACTCTATCCCACCATCACCTCCACCAGGACCTCCACTCTATCCCACCATCACCTCCACCAGGACCTC